CATCTAAAAAGTATGACCCTTTTCTATCTATGATGGCTACATGGTTTATGGGGCGCTGTGGGTTCTCTGAACGCTCCCCCATATAGGTGCTCAATACTACTCCCAAAATATGATACTAGCTCTTTATGTTTAAAAACATAGTTCTTTCTGTGATTTGAGATAATTGCTCAAAAACTTAGCTCAAAGACTATCTTGGAAATCAAAGTTTCCCCTCTTGCTTAATTATGAAATTGAAGCATTTACTCTTTTCTGAAAACTAGCCCGAAGGCTCTTTGGAAATCGAGGTTTCCTTTCTTGTTTAAATGTGAAAACATTTTAAACTCTTTGGGAATACATAGTCCCCATATACTTTTGAAGAAATGAACTTCAAGTTTTAATCTTTACCCTTTACTCAACTTGAACTTCAAGTCTTAAAACAAGTTAAAAAGCATTTGCAAAAGACTTCTTGAAAAGACTCTAAGAACTTCCTAGACTTGGCTCTTGACTTTCCTTGAATTTGAATTTATGGATTCAAGGTTATGATTCATGTTTCTGGATGATTTCTAGATGTTTAGAAGTCATTTAGAGTAGTTAGAATCAATGGAAAGTGTTAATACACTTTAGAAGGACTTAAATAGGCTAAACGATGAAAACTAGTGAAAAACGATGATTTGGGTGAATCCTGGGCGCGCCGCGCCAGCCCCAACTTACTGGGGCTCAAATCTGGCACACTGTTGGCGCGCCGCGCCAGCCCCTCAGGAGCTACAAGGGCGCGTCGCGCCAGCCTCCCTTCAGGCAAAATTCTGACGAACTTTTGATCTCGTTTTCTGATCCTAAATCGTTTTAATCCGATTCTTTTTTCAGTTTAGATTCATGTACCCAAATCATATACACAAAATCTAACCCAAACAACTCAAGGAAACAACTCTTTAACATCAAGAAACTCCTTAATTCCAACTCATATTCAAGAACGAAATCAATTCAAGAACAACTATCAAGAACATCAAATTCTCAATCTTTTTAGGACGAAAATACACTGAATTAAACATTCTTGGCGCTTGGGTGAACTAACCCAACGCTATGTGATCTCACATACCTTGTAGGGATCACCCCCGACGAAATCCACAAGCTGAACTCGACGAACTTGATGATTTCCTTGCTTCTCCTTCTCTTTTCTCCTCTTCTTTCCTCTTCTCTAAAACCCTAACTCTTTTCCAAAATCATAAAACTGACCAAGTTCAGTTTAGACCCTTAATTAATTCACTAAAACGAATTTAATTAATTGGATAAGGAAAAGACTGAAATACCCTTCAAAAATCCGGATTGGACATTTCCTTATTTGAACAGCCCAACTTCCAATGGGTGTATCTCACTCATACGAACTCGGATTTGCGCAAACTTGGCGGCGTTGGTAAAATAGTACCAAGAGCTTTCCAACTATACCTGGAAGTAAACTTAACTCATCCTGAGCTAGGAGTTATGTCCGTTTGAAGTTGACCAAAAACTCACTATTTCCTAAAATAAATTTCCAGATTTTTCCTTCTTTCCAAAAATGACTATTTCCAATTATTGGCTTCTTCCTATTTATTTCAAATTGCGACATGTTACATAATGTCACCTATGAAGATGACTTATATCTTTACAATTTGCTGCTTGAATTTGCCTCAGCTGGAAGCCTAGCTGATCGTATTTATGAATGAGGATTGCCTGAGTTTCAAGTCCAAAAGTGCACCAAAAATGTTGTTTTAGGGCTCAGTTTGATTCACAAAAAAGGGATTATTCATTGCGACATAAAACCCCAAAACATTCTTCTTACTACTGATGGTGATGATGGTATGGCTGAGGTGGCAAAGATAGCTGATTTCGGACTTTCCATAACTTTGGAGCAGAACTGGAAAGAGAACGTGGGGCACAAAGGAACTAAAAGGTACATGGCACCTGAAGCTCTAATTGAGAAGGAGTACTGCCCAGAGTTGATATTTGGTCACTTGGATGCACTGTTTACGAGATGATCACTGGGAAACCCCTATGGGAATCATCCAATTCGGAATCAAATTTTGAGAATCCCAAACTATCTACAGAGGCAAAAGATTTCCTGAATAATTGTGATTTAATCTTTGTAGCTTTATTTTTTTTTTGGCATCTATCTTGACTCTCTAATTGAGTTTTGTTGGTATCTGTTAGGTTTCAGATCAATAATATTGAACATGACTGATACTCCACAAGAGTGGTTAGTAATGTAACTCATAATAAATGATTATATCCTCCCTAATTAACAATGAGTTACTTAAATAGGAAAAAGAGAAAAAGTTTAAATTTATCTATACAATACTCGAAATTGTTCAATTTTGCCTTTCGTTACATTTTTTTTTTTTGTCTAACCCTACTTGTGTGACCAGGTAAAAATCTTATTTTTTTCCTTGATCGTTTATTTATATGTAAAAATCTATTAAAATCATAACAGAGTAGTATATATCAATCCATATATAATTTTAAATTCATAAGAAATAAATCATGAATTCTCCTGTATTTTCTCCCATATATGTGAGCTTCTTAATTAATGCACTAATTTATTCACGGAACAAGGCAAAATTGTACATCTGTTGTATTATACATCTTTAATTAAATGCATATGTTAGACTTGGACCAAGAATGAGGCAAAATCAAACTCTTTATTATCTAGCTTAAAATGAAATGGACCTTTTATTATATTATATGATACTTATAATTAGCAAAGTCTAATGATTTTTTTATTACAAAAATAATTATTTTAACATTTTCTACTCTTTGTTACCTAGCGCAAAAGGGACGAAAAAAAAATCATTTATGATGATTTACTAATTTACTATTACTAACCACTTTTGTGAATGGTCAAATAAATTTTGAACTTCAAATTATAGAAAATGTGAATAAGTTATCCTCCAAATTTGCTCAAGCATTTGATAAATTATTCAACCTGAGCAATCTCAATTATTTAAAACTTCTGGTTCCTTAGTAAAGTTCAATGATTTATGTTACTACAATTTACAAAATCCAGTTAAGTAAATTTCAATGATATATGTATTAAAACTGAATGATTTTTATGCTGCAAGAAATAATCTAGTAAAAATAAAATAAAATTATGTAATCACGTGTGAAATCAATCCATTAAACTCTGATTGGATGGTTATTACAAATTATTTTATAATGTATCATATTGTGTTGCTTTAATATACATAATGAAAATTGAACAATTGATATAATTGAAGTGTGTTTTAATAAATAGTTGATCGATGATAATAGCTAGTTTTTATGATGGTTATATATTGTTGATTAGGTATCAAATCCAAAGTATGTGTTTAAGGCAAAGATTATTCAGACAATAGAAATTTTGGTGTTGTCCACCCTCAAATGGAAAATGAATCCAGTGACACCACTTTCATTCATAGACCATATATATCATCAGGAGAATTCTGTATTATTCACCATATATAATTGCAACTACAACAATGTTTTATGTAATCAATATGAGATTAAGCCCTGCAATGCAGTGTATTACCTTAAGCAACTTATGGGTGTACTTAAAGTCAGAAAGGTTTGCACTCTTTAATATTGAGTTCTATTTTTGGTTAATTAATTAGCACTATTACTATGCCTCTTTGTTTTGTGTGTCACTGAAGTTGTTTTAGTAGAAATTAAAAATTGACGCATTAAGATTCACACTGCACCAATTTATGCAGCTCCCAGAGGCGGAGCTACATGGGTACTAAGGGTTCATCAAACCCCCTTTGTCAAATATTACTTATAGCTTATGAATATCTAGAATATAGTAGATGTTGAATTTTCTTGATTTTTTTGTGTTTTTTTAATGAGCAACTTTCATATTTAGCAAACATAAAAATCATATTTGTATGCTATAGCTTATGTTTGCTATGGAGCATCAGATTGTATAAATCGCTGTCAGATTTGTATAAAATCATTGGCAGCCTCGCATTTGTATAAATCACTGGCACCTTCTCAATTCAATTTTATGTGATTGTATATATGCATAAAATCTGAATTTGTATACAATTGAATCGAAATAAAACGTTTATATATCAAATCTCTCTCTTACTTTATACAAACACAAATTATACATTGTATTTTGTATAATTTGTGTTTGTATAAAGCGAGAAAGAGAGAAAGGCAAAAGAGAACTGGGAAGGGGAAGATTTGTATTGTATAATTATAAGTGTATAGGACGAAGATATATGTAATGCATGTGTATATACAATTTCTCTCACTTTATACAAACAAAAACAAAATTTATACATTTGTATTTGTATAAAGTGAGAGAGGCGAGGGAGATACTGGCGAGCGAGAGAGGGAGAATGGCGAGCGAGAATTTCAGGGAGAGAGGTGAATGGCAACAGTTTGCTATGGGTTACAATTAAATCAAACTGTGGTTATAGTATTTAATTTGAATTAATAGTTTGTTATTATATACAATTTTCCCTTTTTTGATTTATATTTTTAACCTCTTTAACGAAAATTTTGGGTCCACCTCTACTTCCATTATGAATTCCACTCGCATAAAAATATTGTGCGACATAATTTATTAAAAAGGCTTCTTCATTTTTAATACCTCAAAACAATAGTCTATTTTCCCAATAAAGATCAAGCAATACTACCCGTTCTACTACTCTTGTGGTCCTCTCGGAGTTTGTCATAATATGGGTTGGGAGAATAATTTAAAATTGGAGTTGGAAATTTAAATTGGGTATTTATATAATTTATATTCAAACAGAATTTATATATATAGTAAATATATAAATGGATTTTTCTATTTTCTAGCTAAATTACGTTTTATGTTACGAAAGAACATCAAATATACTCACAACTCATGTACTATCAAATATAGTTATTTATAAATAGACTTCTTGTTAGGGGTGTTCATATGGTTCCGTTAGGATTGATTTTGGTCCTCCGTCAAAACTAAAGACAAATTTGTGTCAAAGAATAATGGAAGGGATATATTTATCCAAAAGTCTCATACAAACTTTTCAGATAGATATCTCACCAGTGATAATACCAAGAATGATGTTTCCACATTTCCTCTGGAACTCCGAATGTAGGTTGGTCATCAATCCAAATCTCCTGATGATATGGTCTATAAATGAAAGTGGTGTCACTGGATTCATTTTCCATTTGAGGGTGGACAACACCAGAAGTTCTATTTTCTGAATAGTCTTTGCCTCAAACACATACTTTGGATTTGATACCTAATCAACAAAATACATCCATTATTAATACAACTATAACTATTGTTATCATATCTCAATCCTAAGCTATGTATGATCAATTATATCAATTCTCAATGCCCATTCTACTTCATTCAAATCCAGTGTTCAATACTCGAGAAATGACGAACAGACATAACAGTTAAGATATTTATACAAACACCAACACTACAATATCTTAATAAGTGAAGGGTCAAAACATGTCTAATGTGTGAATTTCCTGCCTGAACTATCACCAACTATATATCAAAACACTCTTCAACTATCAATTGTTCCCTTTACCTACATTCAGGTAGAAAAAAAGAGGACAAGTGATAGTTGAGATGTGTTTTAATCAGTAGTTGGTGATAATATATAGGAACCTCACAAGCCTATAGTTCAGGTATGAAGATCAAATCAGGATACTTTAGATATGCTTTTTATCACTTACTCTATCTTAATCAACAAAACATAGCTACATACTTGAAGGTCTAACAAAAGGGGCACTTGAATCTCCTCTACTTTAGCAGCAATGGAAAGACAAGCAACAGCCACAAGCTGACTCATCCATGGCTTAACCTTCTGAAAAAGAAATCCAGATATAAATCTATCAAAATAGTTGACAGCTAACACAACAGTCAAAGCATTGAAACCATAGTGGTCAATGACAGTCAACATCCATTCCAAGGACTTTTTTCTTACCCCCAACAAAACCCCATCTGAAACTAAACTAGTACAATAAAAAAGATTCACTTTTTCATTTGATAACAGAGTTTCAACCTCACCATCTTCCAAAAACAAGTCACATTCTATTAAAGGTGAAATCTTTTTCACATTCTCGATGACCCCATTCTGATTTCTTTCATCTGAATGGTATCCTTCTCCCAAATCTCCCTCATCTAATCGATCATCCTCACATAGAAGGGCATCAAAATTCAAGATTGGATTTTGGGGCTCTATGTTTTGTTCTTGTAAATGTAAAACCATTTTTCCCAAACTCAAACTTGGACCCAATAACACATCCACTGCTACTGCCTGACAATGGACATAGAGAGAAAATGGGGAGAGTAAATAGGAGAGATTTTAGCTTAGATTGCTTTCAAGATTGTCCCTTTTTTCTTCTTTTATCCAAATTTATTGTTGGCGCATATATTTTCTAAAGGCTTTTTGGGGATGTTTGGCGCGCAGGGTAGAGGAAGAACAACAGATTCTGCCAAAATTCAATTCATTCTTTGCATATAGATAGCTGAGATTAGTCTTTGCATATAGTGTTAGTTGAGACTTGAGATTAGTATGCTTTTATCCAATTACTCCTTTTGTTTGACATATAGCTAACAATTAATAACAGAAATAATATTATTATATTGCCTTTTAATTTGAATCCATTAAATTTCATATTTTGGAAAATGTATTAGTAGTACTCTCTTCGTTTAGACAAGAATGATAAAGTTTGACTTATACGAAGTTTAAGAAAATAAAGAAAAAATTTCAATTTTATTATAGTAAATTAAAGTTATGTCAAATATATCAAAATATTATTTAATATGTGGACTTAAATATGTTATGTGAAAAACTGAAATTAAAGTATTGCCAAAAAAAAAGAAATGAGACATTCTTTTTTAAATAGGATAAAAAGGAAAGAAGGTAGACCTCTATTATGATTGTGCCTAGACCAGTATTGGCAAAGGGGCCAACACCGAATTAAGTGGCTATGTGTGGGATCTGGGTTGAAAAATAAAGACTAGTGAGAGGAAAATAGGTTTATGCAAATTATGATTATGCTTAGGCAAAGACCGTGCTTCTCATCCCCAATTCTCTCTTAGTTCCCTCATCCCTTCTTCTTTATAGTTACTGTTATTGTTCGAGTTCTTCATAATGTAATTGCTCGTTTTAGTATGAATCAAAGCTTGTTAGTTTGTTCTCTCTATTGTTTGGTTGTTGAGTTGAGAAAATCACTACAACCATTTGTGTTTGTTACATTGGTGCTTTCATTATTCTTACTCCACATGGCAATGGTGGTATTGGATCGATTTAGTGGTGGAACGATCCAGAGGGTTGGATTCTTTGGGACGAGCAGTATTTCACCTGCCTTGGCTTCTCCCAGAAGGACTGGCTACCTCTTCCTTATTTCTACCTTGATGGTGAGCTCTTACTTGTTTTACGTGGTTGCATCGTAACAAGCAATTCTTCGATTGGAAGCATTTTAAGGAAAAATTGCTTATGCGATTTCCACAACGCACAACTTCGGTGAGTATGGCAGATACTTTTTGAGTCTATATTGACTATATTCGCTATACTAGATTTGTTCCTCCGACGAACTCTCCCTCTGCAGTTGTAGATTTATGCCCTGTCACATACTCATCTGACTTGGAAGATGCCTTCACAAGTGGAAACACAGAAGCAGACCATATGCTCGAGAATTGCCTGAGAAGTATACCAATGTGGATTCCTTGGCATTGCTTACAGGAAGTGATGCTGAGATCTCAACTCTTGAAGGCCTGGGAACTCCTCAAATTGGGAATGCAAAATCAGTAGAATCAGATTTGGTACGGTAATGTTCTTCTATTACCGAAGGTCAGGTGTTCGATGAAAATTCACATACAACTGTGAGCTCTAGCATTCCTGAACTTAACTATAGATTCTGCAAAGATATTAGTATGCAAACCAAGTTCCCTACTTCGGTGTTAACTGATACGAAAGAATCGAATAGTGTGGAGGAGAAAAAATCACTAGATAATGCTGCTTTGTTTGACAAATCTCCTCAAAGGGATGCATCTGGTACTCTAGCTCCTTTTACTAAGCAAGCACATGTGTTGTCTAATACGCATATTCGAATTACAGAAATAGTATATCCAATTGCGACTTGGGTATCACTCTTAATTCCTCTTGTTGGTCAAGAAGATATGATATCGAATGAACATCTCGAACAAGATATGGCAACAAGGTATGTAGTTAGTTACTAATTCTCTTGGTAGTGGCCCTCCTAAATGGAAAACTGATTTAGGGACATTTACGGTGGGTAGGCAGATTTATTTCTTGATGAATATTTTTTGGAGAACGTGAGTGCCATATCAACTAGTGTGTTGCATTTTGTTGGATTGTTTATTGCCACTGAAAATGGGAAATCTATTAGGGGATTCAATGATCAGCATGTTTTGAGTCAATTTCCATTTATTCCTACTGGCAATTTCATTAAGCTTATTGTAACCGTTCCCATAAGTGCAATGGATCTTTGTGTATGGGATCCAGGAATGGATTTCGGATTTATGGCTCTAACTGGTTATATAAAGAGAACGTGGAGGAACTTGTTGTGAATCAAGTCGACTTTGTGCGGGCTTATGTGTTAGGAATTGTGAATGAGACTGATTTATATGGAATTATTGGGCCGAGTAAAATATTAGAGAACATTATACTCACAATCCTCGCAGGCATTGAAATAAAAAAGGAAGTATCTATGCAGACAACACCAAAATGGAAAATAATATTATGCAGACAACACCAAGATAGAAAAGAATATTTGATTACACCAAGATGAAAAAGAATATTTGACTGACTTAATAGAAAGGACAACATCTATCTAGGAAGTTAGAATCAACATACAGATGGGCCAAATCCAGCATACAGCTCCCCTTGATTGACATACGAAATCAAACTATCCATATAAGGAATAGATGCAATTTAAGTCAAAGATCCAAGATATACTGATCAAACAAGGAAAGAAATCAAGCCAGCTAAGTTGAGCAAGATGGAGCAACAAATCACGCCAAGGACTCAAGATCTGCTGATCAAATCACTCTAGCAAAATCGAGAAGGATAATAAGCGATTTACCATGCACATATCTGATATGGACATGGATCAGCAAATCGCCTCAATCAAGGAATATCTCAATTATCCTTAATTGAGATAAAAATCCCTTGGGTTATTCCTTAACAAGAGCAGTCCTCAAATACTATATAATCCTCGCCTAAGCCTCAGTTGTGAAGTAGGCACTTCACCTGAACTTATATTGTAATCTTCTTTCATCTTTCATAAAACTTTGTACACCCTTGAGTGAACAATTGAAAAGAAAAGAGAAAAAAAGATCTGAGTGTAGGTTATACAGGTAGAGGTTGTGTCGAAGAAGAAGATCTTGTAACATCCGACAATTTAAAATGAATATGAAGAAGCTTGAAATTGGAAGTAGTCACTTTTGGAAAAAGTTCAGAATCTGGAAATTTGGCTAAGTCCAGAATCTGGAAATTTGGCTAAGTTTAAAATATGGAAAATTTGGCTGTGTGGAAATCAGTGAGTTTTTGGCCAATTTTGAGCAGTCGTAACTCCTAGCTCAGGATGAGTTAGGAGTAGTTCCAGTTATGGTTGTGAAGCTTGTGGAATGATCTTTCCAACGCCACTGAGTTTGCTCAATTCCGAGTTCGTATGAGCGAGTTATGCCCGTTGAAAGTTGGGCAGTTGGCAGGGAATCCGTCCGAAATTTTAAGGGCATTTTGGTCTTTTCCCTAGC